GCTTAAAGGAAACAAATGCCTCTGGACAGCACATGAGTACTGGTTCAATAGCCCATAATGCCTCTGTAGATGTGTGTGTAGGATCCGGCAAGTTCTCAAAAGGCATTTGTATCCATCAGCTGCTGCATTTCCTTCAGCTGCTGCTATAATGTTAGAAAGAGGCATTGCCCTGTATCACTGTCAGCCTCTCCCTCCACACTCCATGTTTCCATTCTCTGTTTTAGGCCAGCTTACTCTGCTAGCATGTGCATTTTAGGCCTTGTCTATACTACCGTGGGCCGTTGACTTAAGTAGCACAACTATGGCTAAATGAATAATGTACCTGGAGTCGATTTTCTTTGGTCTGCTCACTGTGGTATCTTCACAGCAGTAACCGGTATTCAATAGCCAGTGTTCTCCCATTGATTCTGCCTACTCTTCTCATTTTGGGGGAGTACTGGAGTCGATGGGAGAGCATTCAGTGGTTGATTTATCATAGAATCACAGAACACAAGAACTGGAAGGGACCTCAAGAGGTCATCAAGTAATCCTTGATTGGGATTTTTGATTGGGTGGGTTTTATCCATCAAATTCACTGTTGTGCCTTTCATATTCAGTCACTCTGGATTTTCAGCCAGAGAAAAGACATCCCATTAAATACACAGGGCCACATTTATCTCTAGTGTAATTCTACTAAAGCCTATAGTATTAATCCAGGAAGGCAGTAAAATGGTAAAATATGGCACATTGGTCTTACTACCTAGAAGGCATCCAAATATGATGTTATTCAAATCGGATTTCAGGCCCCTTGGGTCCCAGCAAAGTTTGAGAATGCTTTAGTCATAGGCTACGTCTAGACTGCAGGCTTCTTTCAGAAGAAGCTTTTCTGGAAGAGATCTTCCAAAAAAACTTCTTCCAAAAGAGCACGTCCACATACAAAAGAACACCAAAATAGCAATCTGCTTTTTTGAAAGATAGCGTCCATACTGAATGGACATTATCTCACATTTAAACTGTGATTTCTATGGACAGGCTAGCCACCAGGACACCTGTGCTTTTTCCTCTTTCCTCTTCTTCTGAAAGAACTCCCTCTTCCCCTCCCACACTCACCTTTTTCGAAAGAGCTCATTCGGAAAAGGCTTCTTCCTCATAGAAAGAGGATTACCAATGCTGGGGAAACCCCTCTGTTCTTTTGATTTTCTTTTGGTAGAACGCGATTGCACTGTAGACGCAATCAAAGTTTTTTTTGAAAAACAGATGTTTGTGTAGACATAGCCATAGTGAATTGAGCACATGAAGAGAAAGGAGTTTGTTCTGTTATTCAGAAACTCAATCTAACCTCCTTAAGGTTTCAGTCAAAGACACTGAATTGTAAAGTGAGCCACATCTATATTGAAGTAGTCGTCTACCATCCAGTTGGATTATTTACAAAAGTAATAATTTGCATTTAGACGGTGGTTTCATGGCCTTCATGTAGACAGACTACATAGCTAAATAAGGGGATGGAACCAAACCAAAGGTCTCTATAGGTCAGGCTCCCAAATGACCTTGTGCCTGCTTTGCATTATAGCATCCTTGTTTGCGAAAGTGATTCCCCATGAAGTACACCCCCAAAAGGGGGAAAAAATGATACCAAACTGCTAAAACAAGGATCCATTTGAGTATGAGGTAAGGAGAAGAGAGATGGAAGGAGAGGTTGGTAAATAATTTCTGTTGCCTTCTGTACACAATATTCTCTGGATTCCTCTTCCCTTTTTGTTGTTGATATTCTTGTTTTGTTTTCTTAAACAACAAGTGGAATACAATGAGAGGGCCAAATCCTCAAGTCAATAGATCTATACTGATTCACACCAAAGGATCTTTTGCCCATTGCATCATTTCCTGAGGGTAAATTTAGCCCTTCTAAATCAAGGGACAAATCCAACTCATGGGCTGTGTCTAGACTGGCAAGTTTTTCCGGAAAATCAGCCACTTTTCCGGAAAACTTGCCAGCTGTCTACACTGGCCACTTGAATTTCTGGAAAAGCACTGATGATCTCATGTAAGATCGTCAGTGCTTTTCCGGAAATACTATGCTGCTCCCGTTTGGGCAAAAGTCTTTTTCTGAAAGACTTTTGCGCAAAAGGGCCAGTGTAGACAGCACAGTAGTGTTTTCCACAAAAAAAGCCCCGATAGCGAAAATGGCGATTGGGGCTTTTTTGCGGAAAAGCGCGTCTAGATTGGCCACGGACGCTTTTCCGCAAAAAGTGCTTTTGCGGAAAAGCGTCCTGCCAATCTAGACGCGCTTTTCCGAAAATGCTTTTAACGGAAAACTTTTCCGTTAAAAGCATTTCCGGAAAATCATGCCAGTGTAGACGTAGCCATGGTGTCCAGTGTCTCAAATGGTCAGGAGTGAGATTCACAGAGAGAAGAGGTGATTTGCTCCCTACCCTAGGTCAGAGTCCAGTATCTAAAGTTGTCCTTCCAATCACATTGTCTATATCTTGAATCATGGCAGTTTTACCGTGTGCTCACACCAGTGTTATTAGAAAACTTCAGCACCTAAAATTAATCCCACTGTTCCCGGATTCCTTAGATTCTGCAAGAGCTTAAAATACCACCATAGTTACAGAAGGGACTACGTTGGTGCAGGCAAAATGATTACAATTAAAAGAGGATTTATTTCTAATTATAAATGTAAATGATTTACATTTCTTTCCTGAGCCGGATGACATTTTCCAATTTTTTATTTATTTTTTTTTTACACAAAAATGTTTGCTAAAATTCTAATGTAAAAAACCATCTGTCTCCTTTGTGGTAAAACACTGACTAAAAGAAAAAACGGCATTGAATGTTTCCATGTTTTAACCATATCTAGCCAAATATAAAAGCAAAACAGACAATTTTCTCACCTCAAAATTATGGCATCACTATCTGGGCAAAAATGCTTTTGGGAACATGGGGATTGGGAAAGAGAGGAAAACCCTCTTTTTGCACTTAGCCAGTTATGTACATTTTTTTCTCAGTGGAGAGTCTCAGTTTTTGATCAGAGGATTTAGGGCAAAATAAGTAGCTAGGGCTGGTAAACTGACATGAAAAGAAGAGATTCTTATTACATAAAAATAATATTGTCCATGATGATAAAGAACAAGGAAATTAAAACCAGAACAGGGGTGTTACAAACAGTATGTGCAGCTTTTTAAATTATCTCCCTGAACATAAAAAAATTTCATTTCAGCCAGTTACCTAGTTCAAAACGGTAGCAATCATTTAAAAAGTCAATTATCTAGTCTCAAAATACCAGTCAAGGGAGAAAACTATCCAGTGCTAAAGTGCACTAAACTGTTTCCAAGATTATTATGTTAGGGCTTCAAAACATCCATTTGACTCCTTTTCAATCTAAACATCCTGTTATATTTGGTTTTTGCTGAGATGGTATCCTTCAAGTGGCTATGTACTGAATCAAACATGAGGTAAGTTCACATCAAATTTTGATTACTGTTATAAAAATATCAGTCTAACCTTTTCTTTGCTTTTGCAATTACTGCCTCGCTGAATTCCAATTAGGTCTCCTTTTATTAACAGTCACTTTTAAATAAAGTTACCATAGCAATGCTACTCTGGTCTGATGTGGCTTTTGGTTAGGGTTACTAGAAAACAATCATAACATAATTTTCATCAGAAACTCTGAAAAAAACACAGTACCAGAACTTAAAACCACCATCATATTTTGAAAAAGAACTTTGGAGTGGTAACATGAGCTTACATAGCCTGCTTTAGAATTTACCGTTCCCTAAAGCCCGTGTGTAGGGTAGTGCCTGTAGCTGCATGCATTAGCATACCTGTATGTGTCTGTAGCATGGCTTCAGTGCAGATTTAGCAAAGACAAAATTGATAACTCATTAAGGCCCTGGTGGGAAGAGCACTGAAATCAAAGAGACTCCTTCTGCTGGTTTCAGAAGGTTTAGACTGAAGCCCTATGAAATCTGCAAGGTCATATTTCACGTGGAAATCAAAACAGAAAAGCAAACTCAGTTGCTAATCCCTGTATTCACATTGATTTCTTCAGGAGGGACACAGGGTACGTGATATTTTGCATAAACTGTCCTTCAACATCATTGCTTACATTTTGCTATTTATCTATCCAGGCTGCATTTTACATGCCACCTGTAACTGAAATGTATATTAACCTAAGAAAGGCCTCACTGGGTGAGACCATCTCATCCAGGGTGTGTCTAGACTACACCAATCTGTGGACAGAGAGATGTAGATTAGGCACGTCTAAATTGCTAATGAAGCTGGGATTTAAATATCCCGTGCATATTTAGCATAAACATGGCAGCAGCTTTTTTCGAAATGGAGCTTTTTCGAAAAAACAAAACAAAACAGCAATCTAGACACATATCTGTCGACAATAAAGCATTTTTCAATAGAGCCTGTCAACCTTATTTTTTGAGGAATACAGGATCTGTCGAAAAAGGCTTTATTGTCGACAGATCCACGTCTAGACTGCCTTTTTTTTGTTCCAAAAAAGCTCCGTTAAAAAAAAAGTAGCAGCCATGTTTATGCTAATGAAGTGTGGGATATTTAAATCCCGGCTTCATTAGTAATTTCGACATGCTTGGTGTTTCAGATGGAATGAAAAGAACAGTCATCCAGCACTCCTTTGCCAATCCCAGCTTCTGATGGGCAGAAATTTAGGGACACCCAGAGCATGGGGCTATGTCCCTGATCATCTAGGCTAATAGCCAGTAATGGACCTGTCTGCCAAGAATGTATCTAGTTCTTTTTTTAACCCAGTAGTAATCTTGGCCTTCACATTCCTTGGCAACAGTTTCCCAAGGATGACAATTTTTTTACTCTTAAAAAGACCACACGCAGAGTAGTTGGTCTCGGGGGGGTTGGTTTTGCAGGAAGCATCCCCACTGTTTACAGGCTGTCATTGGTTCCATATTTTCAACCTTCTCCTGTACTCTGTTTCCACACTAAGAACATTACGTTCCCAACGTGCATTTTAATTAATACTTCATTTAACAACCCACCTTATCAAAGATGAGGTGATGTACTATGCTGTTCCAACATGTAGCCGCTGCTCCCACTGGATATTATTTTGGATTAAATTAAGAAAGAGCAAATTCCATCTGGGGAAAACAAAGATTTTGCAGCAAGTAAATATCTTGGTATCGCTGAAGGACATACTGTTTGGTACACAGAAGATCAAGGCTAAGAATACACAGGTTCTTGGTTTTCCTGTAGTTCTTTGGGGCCACATTACTTTTACTGCCCTTTTCCCAGTTACAGTCTTACTACATCCATGGACATTTCATAGACTCATAGAATATTAGGACTGGAAGAGACCTCGAGAGGTCATCGAGTCCAGTCCCCTGCCCTCGTGGCAGGACCAAGTACTGACTAGACCATCCCTGATAGACATTTATCTAACCTACTCGTAAATATCTCCAGAGATGGAGATTCCACAACCTCCCTGGGCAATTTATTCCAGTGTTTGACTACCCTGACAGTTAGAACTTTTTCCTAATGTCCAACCTAAACCTCCCTTGCTGCAGTTTAATCCCATTTTTAATATATAAGGCAACACCTCCTCCCTTTTTTCCCTGAGCAAGCTGTGCCCTTCCATCCTAACATTCCAATTATGTGTATTATCCCACCATGTTTCTGTGATGCCAACAATGTCATAGTTTTATTTATTTATTAGCACTTCCAGTTCTTCCTGCTTATTCCTCCCTACTTCTCGCATTTGTAGAATCTAAGGGTATGTCTACACTACCCTCCTAGTTCGAACTAGGAGGGTAATGTAGGCATACCGCACTTGCAAATGAAGCCCGGGATTTGAATTTCCCGGGCTTCATTTGCATAAGCCGGGCGCCGCCATTTTTAAATCCCGGCTGGTTCGAACCCCGTGCCGCGTGTAGCCGCGTGTAACCCTAAGGCTTCCTAGTTCATGCCGCGTTTAACCCTAAGGCTTCCTAGTCCGAACTACCTAGTTCGTGCCGCGTGTAGCCGCGCGGCACGGGGTTCGAACCAGCCGGGATTTAAAAATGGCGGCGCCCGGCTTATGTAAATGAAGCCCGGGAAATTCAAATCCCGGGCTTCATTTGCAAGTGCGGTATGCCTACATTACCCCGCTAGTTCGAACTAGCAGGGTAGTGTAGACATACCCCAAGATACTGATTTGATCTTGCCTCCCAGTTTTGCCCTAACCCTCCTTTCTCTCTGCCATTATAGCCCACACTCCCTCCCATTTCCGACCCATCTCCCAGGTCTCCATGTTCTCCACTTACCTATGGGCTTTGCTCACCTGTCCCCGTCGAACCTAGTTTAAAGCCCTCCTCACTAGGTTAGCCAGTCTGTGTCCGAATAGGGTCTTCTCTGTGCTCAAAAGGTGAACACCATCTCTGCCTCTTCTTGTTAAGACTTCCTCACTCAGTATAACTTTTTAACATAAAAATGACAGACACTGGGGTCAGTCCTGTTAAGAACATAAGAACGGCCGTACTGGGTCAGACCAAAGGTCCATCTAGCCCAGTATCCTGTCTGCCGACAGCGGCCAATACCAGATGCCCAAAGGGAGGGATCACAGCAGGTAATCCTCTGTGGAAGAAAATATTGTCCTCACTCTGCGTTTGTAAGCAACAAGTAGCCAGAGGCAGTTTTATTACAAGCTGCAGCAAGAGAAAAGCTGATTTGGACGGAGGGAGGAGGGGAAGGAAGACCCCCCGAGGCAGATCTTCAAATACAAGCAATTATGAAGCAGTTACATATAGTAACATTAAACAATTAGTCTCCTTCCCATTACAAACACCAATGGCTAACAGTTATTTTAGTTCCACCCAGATGCTCCTTCTCTCAAGGTCCCTACCAGAGTCAGCATTCGATCCTTATCTCCGTATGGAGGCGAGAGGCAAAGGCAGCATCTTATTACATCTCTTGCGTTGTCAGGCCACAAACTTAGCCTGACTCTTGCTCTCTTGTTAACAAGACCAAGATGGCTGCACACAAATTCCTTTATTCCCTTTTTCCTGCCTCCACAGTCCCCCCTTTTGTGCTTACAGCACAACTACCATTCTAAACCTCTCTTTTCATTAGGCATTGTATTTCTATTTCCAAATTATAACAACCAAACCCCTGGATGACCGCGTCCAGGTCGGTGAGGCGGATGACTCTGCAGAGCAGCACCCTGTTGATGGCCTTCACCATCTGCAGAGAGACACACAAAACCGAGGGTCACTGGGGTGCCCGGGTGGCTGGGAGTGTTTGTTCCCTGCCACTGCCCCGCATCCCACTCCCAGCAGCAACTCCTGCTGCAATCCTGGCCACCGCGGGCGGTCTGTAGCACGGCCGGGACAGACCGAACCCTCCCAGGGAGGGCACTTACACCACCTCCCTCTCCATTTTCCCTGGGGCAGCCCCTGTCCTCCCTGCAGCCCCCCTTCCTGGCCCAGTGGCCGGTGAGTGCCGTACCTGCATGAGCACCGTTCCAATGATGGATCTCCCCACGCCAAACTGGTTCCCCACGGATCGGCTTCATATAAACTTTCCCTTTAGGCTGCTTGATCCTGCCAGTCTGGCCCTAAATGTTTAATCCTAATAAGTGATATTTTAGAGATAATTATTTTACAGTAAAACCTGTGTTATCCGGCATGTCTGGGGATTAGGGCATGCTGGTAACCGAAAATTTCTGGTTATCTGAGGGGGGGCTGGAACCGTGTAGGGGCCAGGATGTGGCATGCTAGGGGGGGACCACGAGATGCAGCGGCGGGAGTCGAGATGTGGCCTGGTGGAGAAGGGTGGAAGCAGGGGAGGGGGAGGCAGAGATGGCAGGGGCAGCCTGTTGGGGGAAGAAGGAGGAGCCACAGGGGAGCCTCGCAGTTAACTCAAGGGAGTTCAGAACTCTCAGCTGGATTCTAATCTCCACTATTGAGCTTTCTCATACCCTCGGATATGTGATTTCAGTTCCATGTCTCGTTTTCCCCAGATAATACTTATTGACCCCCACAGGCGCTGCCATTCTCCCCTCCCCCAGCTACATGCTGACCACTCATCTGAGGAGTGGTCGGGCACTTAAAGGGCCAGTTTCCTTTTAGTTTGGTTGGTTTTTTTGTTTCTTTCTTTTCCCAGCATCAGAAATTTGCCGGTTTCTACAGTTTTCCAGATAGTGCAGGTGTTACTGTAGTTACTCAAGAGCCGTGTTTAATTTTGTAATGAACCCTTGCCCCCTTCTTTTAATTGTGGATGTGCATATGCACACTTTCTATACGTGTGTGTATATAGAAGCAAAACTAGCAACCACAGTAGTTTTATTCATTTTGCTTTTCTCCCTTCTGCCTTGCATGTCACTTTGGTACCTCCAAGCCAAAATGCTAAGTATGTTTAATACTAGTAATACCCCAGGATTTTTTTAAATCAGATTTTCTGCTGTTATAGCCCATTTCTCTCATCTCTCCCCCTCTGGCAACAGCCACTGCAAGTGGGAAACTGAAATGCCAGAGCAGGTTTCCTGCGGCAAATCTCGGTGCCAACCATTGTTCTAGCAGCATGCACCTGCTCAATGGTGCTTACAGAGCCATTCCTCAGAATTTTTCTACCCTGAGGGGTGACAACTAGGAACAACAACCCTCTTAGTAGGCTCATCAAACCCTCCCAAAGCTGTCTACCGCCGCTGCTGTAACCTAATCAGCAACTCCGAGACACAAGCTCTCAGCAAACAAACGCCTCTCCGTGCCAGCTCCCTTGCGTGACAGCGTGCCCTGCCAGCTTTTTCTCACTTTACCGTCTTTCGAAATATCTTGAACATTGTTGCTTATGTCATGGCAATGTTTCCAGCCCTCCTGTTCCCCTGCCAAAATCCGCTATGTCAAAGGGAACCAGGGAGGAGGAGAACAAGAGACACTGCCAAATTAAAGCAATTGCTTTTGCACAACCATCTATTGCCAAAAAGGCTGCCAAACGCAATCAGAAAACTATGACTTGCAAGGAAGTGCCTTTTAGACATACAGCTCATAGAATTCTGTGCTGAACAAGGAAAGGGCTTAACACACACATTACACATGATGGATTTTCAGTGACTTTCCTCACAAGCTTCATAAAATGGATTAAGTCAGTTAAGATGGATGGAGCTGTTCCAATCAAAAGAACAGAAGGAAATGGCTGTTGAATATGCAGCACTATCTCCGAGGTCCAATCCAGAAAGGTGCTGAAGAACAAACTTCTGAGAGTAGCAAATGCATGGCAAGATTCCAGATTGTACCTCTAACATATGTATAAAAGATTACATTAGGGTTAAGAGCCTTTTAGCCTTTTAGCAAGGCTATTCATAATGAACTTCATTGGACTTTGATGGCATAACTCCATTTAGAATCAGTGGTGGTAGAAACAGTAGATATAAAACAGTCATAGCTAGAGACCTCAACCATAATTGTTGTAGGTACTGTCCATACTCTTACTGAGGGAGTGAATCCCATTCCTGAAGGGCTCACAGTCTACATGGACATGAAAAATTGAGGAAGGGAGGGGAAGTTGAAGCACAGAGGCAGGAAGTGACTTGCCCATAGTCATCTAAGAGGGATGGAGTCAGCCATCTGACATCCAGACCGGGAATCTCAAGAAGCGTGCTGCTTACCGGGAACTCAAATTCTGGATGTGACTGAGAGTCTTCTGAGACTGTTCAGACCTTCAGACCACTACCTCTTCCTACTTCTCCATACGATACGGCCAAGAATGACCTTGAGCAGATCACTGCAGATCATATAGCACTGGGAAGAAGGATCAAGAAGTTTGAGGTACAAGTAGTGTTCTCATCCATCCTCCCTGTTGAAGGAAAACCTCCAAGTAGGGATTGTCGAATTTTGGAAGTAAATGCGTGGTAGGACAGGTGGTGCTGGAGAGAGGGCTTTGGATTCTTTGACAATGAGATGCTGTTCCAGGTACGAGGATTGCTACGAAGAGATGGGATTCACCTAACAAAGAGAGGGAAGAACATCTTCACAGGTAGGCTTCCAAACCTAGCGAGGAGGGCTTTAAACTAGGTTCGTCAGGGGACTGTGACATAAGCGCTGAAGTAAATGAGCAAGTGGGATACTGGGAAAAAACAGAAGGAGGAAGGTGCAACAGAGGAGGACCCCTGATTCACACGGAGAAGGTAGGGCAAAGAGCTAGTTACATGAACACAAGAAGCCTGAGAAACAAGCAGAAAAAATTAGAAGTCCTTAGGATAATCAACGAACTATGATTTGATTGTCATAACGGAGGCTTGGTGTAATGACTCACATGACTGGAGCATTGTCATGGAAGGGTATAAACTGTTCAGGAAGAAGAGGTGGGGGAGAAAAGGAGGAGGAGTTGCACTGTATGTAAGAGAGCAGTATGATTGCTCAGCGCTCCAGTATATAGAGGGAGAGAAGCCTGTTGAGAGTCTAAAGGCAGGAGCAACAGGGGTGATATTGTGGCTGGTGTGTGCTATAGACCACCAGATCAGGTGGATGAGGTAGACGAGGATTTCTTCAGACAACTGAAAGAAGCTTCCAGATCGCAGTTCCTGGTTCTCATGAGGCACTTTAATCACCCTGATATCTGTTGGAAGACCAAGACAGCAGTACACAGGCAATCCAGGAAGGTTTTGGAGAATGTTGGAGACAACAAGTACTGAAGGAACCAACCAGGGGCCATGCACAGCTTGACCTGCTGCTCACAAACAGGGAGGAATAAGTAGGGGAAGTAGATGTGGGTGGCAACCTGGGAAACAGTGATCAAGAGATTGCTGATTTCAGGATCCTAACCAAACGAAGAAAGGAGAGCAGCAGAACACAGACCGTGGCCTTCAGAAAAGTAGACTTCCTCAGTGAACTGATGGGCAGGATCCCCTGGGATGCTAACAATCAGGGGAAAGGAGTCCAGGAGAGCTGGCTGTATTTTAAAGAAGCCTGATTAAAGGCACAGGAACAAACCATCTCGATGTGCAGTAAAAAAGCAAATATAGTAGGCAACCAGCTTGGCTTAGCAGTGAACTCCTTGGTGAGCTCACGCACACAAAGGAAGCTGACAAGAAGTGGAAACTTGGACAGATGACCAGGGAGGAGTATAAATCTATTGCTCAAGCCTGCAGGGGTGTAATCAGGAAGGTCAACGCGCAATTGGAATTGCAGCTAGCAAGGGATGTGAAGGGTAACAAGAAAGGTTTCTACAGGCGTGTTAGCAATAAGAGGGTGGTCAAGAAAAGTCTGGAACCCTTACTGGATGAGGGAAGTAACCTAGTGACAGATCATGTGGGAAAAGTTGACGTACTCAATGCTTTTTTTGCCTCTGTCTTCACAGACAAGGTCAGCTCCCGGGAAAGAGGTGGGAAGCCCTTGGTGCGGAATGAACAGGTTAACAACTATTTAGAAAAGTTGGACATACACAAATCCATAGAGCTGGATCTAATGCATCCGAGTGTTCTAAGGGAGTTGGCAGATGTCATTGCTGAGCTATTGGCCATTATCTTTGAAAAACTTGTGGCAATCATGGGAGGTCCCAGTCAACTAGAAAAAGGCAAATGTAGTGCCCATCTTTTAAAAAGAGAAGAAGGACAATCCAGGGAACTACAGACCCGTTAGCCTTAAATCAGTCTCTGGAAAAATCACTGAAGGAATCCACAAGGAATCCCTTTTGAAGCACTTGGAATAGAGAAAATTGATCAGGAATAGTCACCATGGATTCACCAAGGGCAAGTCATACCTGAGCAACCTAATTGCCTTCTATGACAAGCTAACTGGCTCTGTGGAAATAGTGAGGGTGGTGGACGTGATATATCTTGACTTTAGCAAAGCTTTTGTTACGGTCTCCCACAGTATTCTTGCCAGCAATTTAAGGAAGAATGGATTGGATAAATGGACTATAAGGTGGATAGAAAGCTGGCTAGACTGTTGGGCCCAATGGGCAGTGATCAACGGCTTGATGTCTGGTTGGTGGTCCGTATCAAGCAGAGTGCTCAAAGGGTTGGTTCTAGGGCTGGTTTTGTTCAACATCTTTATGAGTGACCTGGATGAGGGGATGGATTGCACCCTCAGCAAGTTTGTGGATGACTTTAAGCTAGAGGGAGAGGCAGATATGTGGAGGGTAGGAATAGGGTCCAGAATGACCTAGACAGATTGGAGGATTAGGCCAAAAGAAATCCCATGAGATTCAATGAGGACAAGTGCAGAGTTCTGCACTTGGGATGGAAGAATCCCAAACATTGTTACAGTCTGGGGACTGACTGGCTAAGCAGGAGCTTGGCAGAAAAGGACTTGGGAATTACAGTGGATGAGAAGCTGGATATGGGTCAACAGTGGGTCCTTGTAGCCAACAAGGCTAATGGCATATTAGGGTTCTTTAGGAAGAGCAATTCCAGCAGATCTAGAGAAGTGATTATTCCCCTTTATTTGGCACTGGTGAGGCCACATCTGGAGTATTGCGTCCCATTCTGGGCTCCCCACCATAGAAAGGATGTGGAGGCATTGGAGAGGGTCCAGCGGAGGGCAACCAAAATGATGAGGGGGCTGGAGCATATGACCTACGAGGAGAGGCTGAGGGACTTGGGTCTGTTTAGTCTGCAGAAGAGAAGAGTGAGGGAGGATTTGATAGCAGTCTTTAACTACCTGAAAGGAAAGGAGGTTCCATAGAGAATGGAGAGAGGCTGTTCTCAGTAGTGACGGATGGCAGAACAAGGAGCAATGGTCTCAAGTTACAGTGGGGGAGGTCCAGGTTGGATATTAGGCAAAACCATTTTCCTGGGAGAGTGGTGAGGCACTGGAATGTGTTTCCTAGGGAGGTGGTGGAATCTCCAACTGTAAAAGTTTTTAATTCCTGGTTTGACAAAGCCCTGGCTAGGTGATTTAGTTGGGATTGGTCCTGCCTTGGGCAGGGAGTTGGATTTGATGACCTCCTGAGGTTTCTTCCAACCCTAAGATTCTATGATTCTATATACTTTAGAGCCATGGAGCCCAACACACTAGCCACATGTGGCTATTTGGCCGGTTAAGTGAGGCTAATTCGCTATGGCAGCAGTTGCTACTGCTTCAGAACTGGTTGGACACCACGGCTCTAGAGATTGCCTAACTAGAACTAATATTTTTTTTAACTCTTTGGTTAAAATGAAAGCGAAAGCAGGCATTTGCAAGCCTAGTTTGGTCACCAATGAATTCTTCAGATCACAAAAGCAATTGCAAGAGGCAGACATAAAAGTTTCCTTTTTTTTAATGGCACACACACATTATTCCTTTATTGCTGAGACAGGCGAATACAATTCATTGTAATTCTTCAAAGCAAAACATGTGAACTTAACACCCAGCCCCTATTAAAGTAAATAGGAATCACATTGCTGGAACTTTGCAAGTGCTTTGAAAATGTACCCGTTAGTGATTACATTCTAGCCTCTCATTTATCTGTTTTATTGTTGTTTCTATATTGCTCCATTTATTTTCCTGACATAAAAATAAACAAACAGTAAATGAACTGCCCTACCCACTCCCCTCCTCCCTCTCTGCTGTTAAATAGTATAAAATATTCCTTCTGCAAAGAAAACAAAATGTTACAAGGGTGTATCAGCTTGAGCCAGGGCATGTGTTACTGTCAGTTTTAAATGGTTTTGTATGTGACCTGTTTTTGTTACCCAATATTTGTTAATTAAAGATTCAGAGAACTGAAAATGCAAACGCTACTGAGCTGTGACGCCAGGTGTGAACATGGAAGCTTAGGCCCATCTTTACTATGAATAATTTGTGCTCGTGGCACATTTTATTCCTTTTTGAATCTTAAGAGGCTATTTGGGCTGATTTTTGAAGGCGGGAGGAGGGAAGTGGTAATCACAAGAACTTAGAAATAAGGCAAGTAGTATATAAAAAAAAATCATTTGTTATTTACCTGTTATTTTTGTGAGGGTGAACCATCACCTTTTTTGGGAGCACTCACGCTGTGCTGCTTTCCCCCAGCCGGCACTGGAAGCACTCGGGCCATGCCAGTATTTTCTAATTAAGGACTTTTTTTGCTTTTCCCGGGCCCAGCCTGGCACCCAATGGAAGCCCACTCGGGACACGTGGCAATTAAAGGGGCCGCGACACTCAGGCGGTCTTTTTTTTTGCTCAACAAAACCATAGTATCGGCACTTTCTTTATTTATACAAAAAAAAGCACTGGTGTTTCTCAATCTTTTTTTTAATAAAGTATCCCTTTTTCAAAAAAAAATTTAAGTTCCCCCCTTTAAAAAAAATTATAAGTGCCTCCAGCACCTATAGTTTTCAGACACAAAATTTATTCCTACCATTGCAAAACATTTGTTTAAACAACTTAATTGTCCTATGGTCTGAAATACAGTCTCACTGATGTTCCAGGCTTCCCGCCCTTTCTGCTGAGGCCCCACCCCTCTCTGCCCCCCATGGAGCCACATGCACACACACCCCCAACCACAAGGAGGGAAGGGAAGGGGAGTGGGCATGCATGCACTAGCCCCAGCCTCCCTGCCCCTGGAGTACCAAGTGAGGGAGGAGGATACGCGGCCTCAGCAACCTCAGTACCAGGGAGGGAGAAGTCCACATGGCTCCAGGCTCCCCACCTCAGACCACAGGGAGGGCAGGGACTGAAGGCAGCCAACTCCACCCCCAGGATGCCTACAGCAGGCCTTCTGGGGGTGGAGTATGGGCAGGGCCATGCCTGGCAGTTTGGGAAGGCAAAACCTTCCCCCGCCTAGGTTATTGGACACCCATGTCTTGCGTCTACCTGTTAAGAAACTTAACCAATGTGCCGAGTGTGACATAGATTGAGATGCCCAACCCAATGCAAACTGGGAACCCCAAAATCCAGCTGTATGAGCATAAAGCCAGTAGCAAAGCCTCTTTAAATGGACCAGCTATTACCATTTCTTCACCTGAGCTGAGCCATTCGTTCCTCTCAGTTCCCAGACAATTTTAATGTGTGGGGCTCATCTCAATGCTAACCGCCGTGGTTGTTTTGATAGCCGTTCATTTTTAATATATCAAGAACATTCGGACACACTAATGCTAACATCCAGCTCTTGGTGTACAAGTCTGTGTACTAATGACCAGAGCTGGAAAGCAAATGGTTTTCCCATCCTATAAGAATTTTTCAACTCTTGTATATTTGTAGCCCCTGGCTAGAGATGATGTATGGGGTGGAGAGGGGGGGATTGGTTCTCCCACAATTTTGGTGCTTGCCTTGTACTGAGCATGCTCAGTAACATTGCTGAAGCCTCTGTCCTCAGTCCACTCCCCCATGCTCTCACTCTCTTCCCCCCATCACAGCATGCACAGGTCGCCTCGAAATGGCACCCCTGCTGTGAGGATAAGTACATTAAATACTGTGAGATGCTTAGACATAGCCATAACAGGGGGGAGATAAGTACCTTAGCTAGACAGATATTGTTTTCAGCTTGTAGCACAAAGCCACATTGAAGAGACAAGGGATACATCCAGCCAAATGTTGACAGTGAAGACAGAGACAGTCACAGCACGGTTGAGATGTTCAAAGCAGCGGGGTAGATTTACGTTTGCGTCTCCCATCACTTTAATCTCGTGCCTGGCTTTGAAAATTTCTGACACAAGCTTTAGGGATAATGTGGTTTTATATTTTCCCAAACTCTTTTTTCCTGTGCTTCTCTGTTCTTGTCAACCCCCAGAAATGTAGAAAGTTGAATCCTATGGAATGTGGGTATCTCTGGAAAGGGAGCCTCCAGTTATCTGGTGGGAAAGAAAGTGGCTTTTTTTCCCACAACACTGTGACTATCCCCCTCCTTATTAGTCATTAGCATGGGTCCTTTTGGAACCGAGTTTCCATTGGTCGAGTATCCTGCCGCGGTTCGGTAGCCATTATGGAGCGAAAGTCACAGGAATGAGGCATCATTTACTTCCAGTACGCTGTCCACAGATTGATGCTGTGGAGCTCAGCTGTGTCCTGGCTCCATCCCCCCAAGCCAGTTCCTGATGGAGCAGCAGCCGGGAAGCTTTTGCAGGATCAGAAAAAGGGGAGATGCTGCTGCCAAGGTGGCTGGGCCACTGCCCCAGCGAGGTTATCTGCCTCCCTTTGTGAGCTGAGATTGTGACGGAGGGGTCACATGACCCACTGCCTTAAAACAATGGCACCTGCACGACTTCATTGTGACAGCACGGGCAGAGCAATAAGTCCTTGGACTAGAGCCACTTGCACTTCATTCACATTCCCAGGGAGAAAGCTCCACTGTAAGTAGCACAGTGTTCTAAGGGTATGTCTAGACTGCATCCCTCCGTCGGCAGAGGGATGCAGATTAGGCAGGTCGACATTGCAAATGAGGCAGGGATTTAAATATCCCGTGCCTAATTTGCATAAAAATGGCCGCCGCGTTTTTGCCGGCTCAGCACTTTTGTCGGCAAAAAGTAGCAGTCTAGAGGGGAATCTGTCGAGAAAGAAAGCCTTTTTCGACAGATCCCTTATGCCTCCTGCAAAGAGGTTTACAGGATCCGTCACCACTGAGAACAGCCTCTCTCCATCCTCTTTGGAACCTCCCTTCAGGTTGTCAAAGGCTGCTCTCAAATCCCCCCTCGCTCTTCTCTTCTGCAGACCAAACAAGCCCAAATCCCTCAGTCTCTCCTCATAAGTCATGTGCTCCAGTCCCCTAGTTATTTTTGTTGCCCTCCACTGGACCCTCTCCAGTGCAGCCACATCCTTTCTGTAATGGGGAGCCCAGAACAGGACACAATACTCCAGATGTGGCCTCCCCAGAGCCGAATAAAGGGGAATAATCACTTCTCTAAATCTGCTGGCAATGCTCCTCCTAAAGAACCCTAATATTCCATTAGCCTTCTTGGCGACAAGGGCACACTGTTGACTCATATCTAGCTTCTCAGCCACCATAATCCCCAGGTCCTTTCCTGTGGAACTGCTGCTTAGTCAGTCGGTGCCCAGCCTGTAACAATGCTTGGGATTCTTCCATCCCAGGTGTAGGACTTTGCACTTGTCTTTGTTGAACCTCGTGAGATTTTTTTGGCCTAATCCTCCAATTCATCTAGATTACTCTGGTCCCTATCCCTACCCTCCAGCATATCCACCTCTCCCCGCTTAGTGTCGTCTGTGGACTTCCTGAGGGTGCAATCCATCCCCTCATCCAGGTCACTCATTAAGATGTTGAACAAAACCAGCCCCAGAACCGACCGCTTCATATGGACCGCCAGCCAGACATTGAGCCGTTGATCAGTACCCATTGAGCCTGACGATCTAGCCAGCTTTCTATCCACCTTACAGTCCATTTATCCAATCCATACTTCCTTAGCTCGCTGGCAAGAATATTGTGGGAGACCGTATCAAAAGCTTTGCTAAAGAAACCAAAAAAAACACCCCAAATAATTTTAAAGGGAACCAAATATACTTGCAGTGGAAAATATTGGAAGGGAAGCCAAAGAAATAGCCCGACTTGCTAGGCCCCTGGGAAGGGGGGAGGGGCAGCTCTTCACTTTAGGAAGGGGTAGGTCCTCAGGCAGAAGGGGTAGGGTTGGAGGTAACTAGACCACAGTGCCAGCTGGAATATGTTACGTAGTGCTCCAGTGGTAATTTAAGGGGCCAGGGTTCTGGCCACTGCTGCTCCTGCAGCAACTGCAGTGAGTGGGGAGCCCTGAGCTCTTTTGAATCACTGGATCCCACTTTGGCCCCCAAGTCTGGAAATAGCCTAAGAACGAGGGTTCCCCCTGCCCTCCAAAAAGAAGCCACGTATGCCTGGGGTTAATGCTCTGCACAACAAATCCAGATGTTTCCAGAAGCCAGTTGTTTGCTCCCTCTGCTGTCTAGAGAGGACAGAGCGTCAGCTGGTGTGAACTGTCATCTCTGCAGACGATGGAGCTGTGACACGTGACACCAGCTGAGGGACTCCTCAGTGGGCCACATCCCCTGCAGAGCCCGTAGACAGCTCCTGCTGTGGCTGCCCACCCCCAGCCCCTGTCCCAGGGGGCCTCCCCTGCTGCACAGCCTCCTCCCCCGCCACATGTGCAGGTGGCTGCTTTTACAGCTGCTGCTGCTTCCGGGAGGGGGAGGGTTGACCAGAGCTGAGCAGAGCTCCTGGACCTCAGCATTTTAACACTGCCACCTGCGGGGAACCCGGCTCAGTTTCTGCCACCTCCCAACCCCACCTGGGGCACGCTCGGGTTCTGCTGTCCCCTCCCCCCTGCCTACGGAGCGCTTGGGCTCTGCTACCCCCATGCGCTGCTGCTCTCTCTCCCCTGCGCCCCTCGCCAGCCTGCTGGGGAAGTGGCAGAGTTTAATTTGGTGGGGACAGTCGGGGTTTCTACTATCCCCCCCTCCCCTGTCCTGCCAGCGGGAAGCCTGTCCTGGTGCTGCTGCTGGGTCCCTGCTGCATGGGCGGGGGGGGGGGGGGGGG